GTCCCTGTCCCTGTCCCTGTCCCTGTCCCTGTCCCTGTCCCTGTCCCCGTCCCTGTCCCAGCCCCGCGGTACCTTCAGCTCAGTGACCTGGGACCCCACGTGCCACATCAGGTTCTCGCTCAGGAACCGCATCCCGTAGGGCCCGATCAGCTCGGCCAGCGCCCGCAGCTCTGCCGTGGGAGGGACAGGTGGGGACAGGTGGGGACAGGGTGGGGACAGGTGGGGACAGCCCCCCCGAGCCCCCCAACCCCACCTGAGACGTCGGAGAACTCGGCGGCGCTGAACGGGGGCTGCTCCTCGCGGGGCACGGTGGTGAAGGCCTGCAGGGCTGGGGACAGCAGCACGGCGCCGGTGCTGGCCTGGCGCAGCAGGGCCTCCAGGTACCTGGGGACACGGCACTGGCACCCGCGGCATGGCACCCGTGGCAGTGCCACCCATGGCAGTGCCACCCATGGCACTGTTACCCATGGCAGTGCCACCCATGGCACTGTCACCCATGGCAGTGTCACCTATGGCACTGGCACTGTCACCCATGGCAGTGTCACCCTCGGCATTGCCACCATGACCCCACAGCAGCGTCACCCTGCTGCCACCACCACCCCCATCCCCGTGTCCCTGCTGCCACCACCCCGTCCCTGTGTCCCCACTCCCTGTGGGTGACCGTGACCACCCCGTCCCGACACTGACCACCCTGTCCCCATGTCCCCCAGCTATGGGTGACACTGACCACCCTGTCCCCGTGACCCCCAGTGGTGTCACTGACCACCCATCCCCATGTCCCCCCATGGTGACCCTCACCGCCCGTCCCCGTGTCCCCCCCATGGTGTCACTGACCATACCATCCCCATGTCCCCCCATGGGTGACCCTCACCACCCGTCCCCGTGTCCCCCCGTGGTGACCCTCACCGCCCGTCCCCGTGTCCCCCCCATGGTGTCACTGACCATACCATCCCCATGTCTCCCCTGTGGTGACCCTCACCGCCCGTCCCCGTGTCCCCCCGTGGTGTCACTGACCACCCGTCCCTGTGTCCCCCCGTGGTGACCCTCACCGCCCGTCCCCGTGTCCCCCCGTGGTGTCACTGACCATACCATCCCCATGTCTCCCCCGTGGTGACCCTCACCGCCCGTCCCCGTGTCCCCCCCATGGGTGACCCTCACCGCCCGTCCCCGTGTCCCCCCGTGGTGGCACTGACCAGTCGGTGTAGATGGCAGCCAGCGTGGGCTGCCCGCCGGCGTCGCGGGGCTGGCTCTGCTGCAGCAGCACGGCGCGCAGCAGCCGCCCCGTGTCCAGGGCCACCAGCTGGCCCAGCCGCTGCACCTGCCCCATGTAGGCCACCAGCCCGGCCAGCACCTCCGAGGGCCGGGCCACCTCCTGCGTGGCCTGGCTGTAGCCAGCCATGGCCACAATGGCCCTGCGGGGACACAGGGGGTGAGGGACATGGCGTTGTCCCCTCAGTCCCGTGTGTCCCCCACATGTCCCCTGGTCCCCGTGTTTCCCCCCGGCCCCGTGTGTCCTCTGCGTGTCCCCGGCGTGTCCCCACCTGGTCAGGCGTGTCTCCAGGTGGCTGCTCAGGTACTCGGCCGGTGTCACCGTGTGCCCAAACACGGTGAAGTTGGGGACGTGGTTGAAGCTCAGGGCCAGCTCGGACAGGGTCAGGTGCAGCTTGTCCATGCTGGGGGACAATCGTGGTGTGACCCCAGGGGGACAATCATAGTGTGACCCCGGGGGGACAATCTGTGTCCCATGGGGACAATCACACCATGTCTCCACTCCACACCCAAGCTCTGGTAGCTCCAGGTGAGCTCCTGAAGCCACCAAAAGCCACCAAGCCCAAAAAGGTCCCAAAGCCCCCAAAGGCCACCAAGCCCCCAGAGGTTCTGCAGACCACCAAAGTCCCCAGACCCGTGACCCTGGGGACAATCCCTGCCCTGGGTGACGCTCACTTGGTGGTCAGGGTCCGGTCCCGCCGCTGGCTCTCTGTGCCCGGCTTGTCCCTTTGGGGGTCCCTCTTGCGGGGCGGCTGCTTCGGGGTTTTCTTGACGCGGGCTCTGCTGATGGTGGCCGCGCAGTGCTTGGGCAGGAGCTGCGGGGTGGGGACAGGGCCATGGGGACATGGGGCATGGGGACATGGGGACAGGGCCGTGGGGACATGGGGACATGGGGACATGGGGACATGGGGACACCCCAAATGGGGCCACCATGACCACAGGCCACCGTCCCCAAGGCTGGGACAAGGGATGCCCCAGCAGGTTTGGCCCCCATGGAGGAACTTCCCCATCCTGAGGGTTTGGTGGGGACAGGAGGACGAGGGGACAGAAAGGCCACGGAGACCCCAGTGGCCACAGAGACCCCAGAGGTCCTGGAGACCCCAGAGGCCACCAAGACCCCAAAGATCCTGAAACCCCCAAAGGTCCTGAAACCCCCAAAGTTCACCAAGACCCCAAAGATCCTGGAGACCCCAAAGGCCACCAAGACCCCAAAGGTCCTGAAGGCCCCAGGGATCACCAATCCCTCCAAAAGTCCCAGATCCTCCCGACTCTCCCAAGCCCCCCAAAGGTCCCAGACCCCCCAGACCCTCCAGGCCCCGAGGCCCCCAGACCTGCTGGCTCAGGTTGTGCTGCTCGGCGCAGGCGTCCAGGACGCAGGCGCTGCCCACCCGTGCCAGCTCCTCCAGGAACTTGTGGCAGAGCCCCAGCGCCGCCGCCTCCAGCTGGGGGTACTGGGGGGGGACACCGGGACCCCTCAGAGCCGGGACGGGGCCGGGGGACCCCCCGGACCCCCCCGGGCATCACCCACCTCCTCGGGGCACATGGGGTGTGGGCAGCGCGAGAAGTGGGCGCAGAGCAGCGGGAAGGCGATGGCGAAGCGCAGCATGGACGGCTCGTCCAGCGCCGCCGAGAACATCCGCTCCAGGGAGCGCGCGTGGAAACTGCGCCGGGCCGGGGTGGGAAAGGGGTTAAAAATGGGATACGGGGTGGGAATGGGCTATGGGGTGGGGAAATGGGATCTGGGATGGGAAAAGGGCAGCAAAATGGGATCTGGGGTGGAAAAGGGTGGGGAAATGGGATCTGGGGTGGAAGGGGCAGAAAATGGGATCTGGGGTGGGAAAAGGTGGGAAAATGGGATCTGGGGTGGAAGGGGCAGAAAATGGGATCTGGGGTGGGAAAAATTGGGAAAATGGGATCTGGGGTGGAAGGGGCAGAAATGGGATCTGGGGTGGGAAAAGGTGGGAATATGGGATCTGGGGTGGAAGGGGCAGAAATGGGATCTGGGGTGGGAAAAGGTGGGAATATGGGATCTGGGGTGGAAGGAGCAGGCCCGGCCGGGCTCACCAGAGCTGGGACAGGTCCGAGGTCTCCTCCAGCAGCTCCTCGGGCTGGTCCAGCAGGCGCGTGTGGAACACCACCAGGCCCATGGCCCGCGCCACGTCCCCGTGAGACACCAGCGGCAGCGGCGCCTTGGCCACGCTGGTGTAGGCCTGGGACAGGGGGACAGGGGGACATGGGGACAGGGGGACAGGGATGGGGACACAGGGACAGGGACGGGGATGGGGACACGGGGACATGGGCACAGGGACAGGGATGGGACAGGGACAGGGGATAGGGACAGGGACAGGGACAGGGACAGTGCCACCACCTGGAGCCGGAGCCAGTCCAGGCGCAGCGCGGTGAAGTCAAACTGCTCCTGGTCATCGAC